GGCCAGCTCCTGGGACCTAGCACATGGGCAGCCCTCTTCCCGCAGCCCTTCCCCCCCCACCATACAAAAGTAAGACTTTATATGTTGAGCTATTATGCAAATGCCTCTCTCTCTCTCTCTCTCTCACACACACACACTACTGAAAAACATAAATCAGGACAAAATATATTTAAAAAAAAATGTTACATTAGATGTTTGATATATTTTTTTTTAAGTATATCTATTTTTATCTACAACTTGTTAAAATGATACCTTCTGAAAGATTCTGTGGCTCTTGACAGCTTATCAAAACTCTAAGTTGCCCTCTAGCTGAAATAATTGCCTGCCCCTGGACTATTGTGTGCATCTCTTAATTTTGTACCTGCTCCCCCACCATCTAGTGGTGCATTGCTGTAATAGCAGCTTGCCCTCTGCTACCAGGACAAGCTGGTTGTCTGTCTACTGTGCTTCCTGCTGTAATCTACTTTGGTATGCAAAAATTATGTAAATTACGCTGGTGTAACCTTCATGTTTCTGCACCTGTAGTCAGCCCTTTGACTCTAAACAGTTCCTTACAGACATGTATTGATTGCTAAAACTACTTACATTGAACACAATGGCAAAATTTGGAAATTTGAGGTTGATGGGCTTTGGTTAACTTCGAGTTGTCTATTAGACACATCAATACTACTTGTTATCACTTAGAATGCACAACTAATTCTTGCTGTATTCAACTTTGCTACCCATCCATAGGCAAAATGTAGCCAAATGAATTCATAGCTTTGGAATACAGGGGGCTCTTTGGGGAGGAGGGGGGATAGTGATGATTTAAAAAAATCTTTCAAGCCCACTTTAGGACTAGAAAAGGATTAGGTGTGAGCTGCTATTATGTTATTGTGCATTCGCATATATGTGGAACAGCATGTACATGAACATCTCTGCAGAACAGCAGATGATGCCATTTAGCATCATATTTGTTGTAAAACCTCATTTGTCCCAGTGAAAACTTATAGGGCTGTTGTTTATTCTGTATTGCATTGTGTGCACTGAAGTATTTGTTTGAAAAAGAGCCTGTGTAGCCCAATATTCAGTTTTATTCTAGAAAGACAGATTGCTGGCTGTTCTACTAGTCAAACTTTTTAATATTAGATGACCTCATGAGGTCACTTCCAGCCCTACTTTTCCTATGATCCTATAAATTCTTATTGACCATGGTTTAAACCAGGGGCAGGCAGTTATTTCAGGCAGAGGGCTGCTTACTGAGTTTTGGCAAGCCATCGAGGGTTGCATGACAGGCAGCCAGGGGCAGATAAATATTAATTTTCTAAATTTTTTAGGGGCCCTCCAAGCTGGGTAGAATGGCCTGGTGTGCCTCATCTGGCCTGTGGGCTGCATTTTGCCCACCCCTGGTTTAATCTGTTATATATTTATTAATATGTAGTTATTTATTCTGTTAAAGCGCTAGGTGATAATAGAAGTGGGATAACTGTAGATATTCCTATACCCTTTTGAACTGAGAGAGATGTTCATGTGAAACCTTCAGAAAGCACACAACAGTGTATGTGGCTTATTGGATGTTTAGTAGTGTAATTAAACTAATAAGGTTAGCTTTGCTAATTGGCTTTTTTCCTTAGGGAATTATGCTGGTGTATGACATCACAAATGAGAAATCTTTTGACAACATTAAAAACTGGATAAGAAACATTGAAGAGGTAGGTGTGTTCTGGGGGTGGCATTCAATCTCTCAGTAGTTTATAGATAATTAGCTTTTAAAGCAATCTTTCTTAAAAGTAGAACAACCTATGTGTAGCCAGCTGAAACTGAGCACTGACCAGAACAGTAGTCTTTACAGAAGCTAGTTTGCCTGCCTTTCCAGCTCAAGGTAAATTAGAAGTCTAGACATGAAAGTTTTTAATTTGAAAGCAGTTATTTAAAGATTTTTGGAATTGCTTGCTCCAAATTGAATTTCCATTGCTGTTCCTTTTTGCTTTGGGTTATAAAGGGTCAAGCTTCTGCTGATATTCCATCAGACTTGTCATTAGCAATCCAGGACTAGTAAAGTCTACAACTCTGGATCTTTGTTCTACTGGTTGACTCATTGGACAACCTGTGGCCATATTGGAGGCTGATAAACAAATCAAACTAGGAAAACTTGCATGTCTGCAAAATGTTGGTGCCCTAAGCACTTAAAATTGAAGAGTCTTAGATGAATCTTTTTTTCAGAAACTTTTCCTTTCTAGTAATGACATTAGATTAGAACACTTACTTAAAATGAAACAGTAATGTATAGAATACCATGTTTATCCAAATCCAAGATGACTTAAAACTACTCCACAATAATTATTATTCTCTATATATTATCTAAACTTATTAAATTCATTGCCCCCTTCCCCACCTTGCTGTGGCAGGGAAAGCAGCAGGGGTGGGTGAGGGGCCAGATCCCTGCCCTTTGTTTTGCCTTCACCTGTGCCTGCTCCCCGCCTCTGTTCACCCCCTCTTGTCTCGTCTTCTGCTGCAGTTCTGTTCCTCCATTTCTGGAGCAGCCAGTAGCACCACAGCCCCAGCCCACAGCGTGGCCTTGGTCCAGCTAGGGAGAAGTAGTGGCAGCTTCTAGCCAGGCAGGGCCAGGGCTGGAGGGGTTATACCAGAAGAGGAAGTGCAGGGGAGGCTTGTACTTAAATCCAGGATGGGGCTTTTCCTGCCGTGTGCCCCTCCACACCTCTGCTAAGGGGCGGGGGGAGGAGAGGAGAGGTAGCATTTCATCTTGGATTTGAGTAAATATTGTCGTTTCTGACAAGCAAAGCATTTGTGTGGGTTTTTAGTAACTTAGTAATATGTTTACAAGAGCCTATTTTTCCTTCAGCATGCGTCTTCAGATGTAGAAAGAATGATCCTGGGTAACAAATGTGATATGAATGAGAAGAGACAAGTCTCAAAAGAAAAAGGAGAGAAGGTAAAATTTGGTTGTGGCTTTGATGGGGTGGAGGGATAAATCTTACTACTGGTCCTGAATTCTTTCTGTTTCTTTGCTTCCCAGCAACCTGAAAAATATTATTCTTTAAACTTCCATATTTTGGAACATGATAGGACCTCAAGCTTTTTGTGGTACTTGCATTGAATTCATTTCAGCCTGAATATTGTCTTGAGCAAGATAATCTAAAGAATGTTGGGCACAAGTTTTAATACCTGTGGGTGGAAGAATTAAGTCATCCTCCTAAATTGGAGCATACTCTGAATTATTCCTGTCCTTGTAATGGGGAATCTTGGTTTTAATTAGCCTCACTAAGGTTAAAATAATTACCTTGGCTGTTCCTTACTATTAGGGTTTAAGTTGCATATATTAAAACACTGTGAATGTGACTGAAGTGTTATGGCTGACTGTCAGTGATATTGGCAGGGGGAATAGTTGGTCAGATAACGTATAATTGTGTGTAAATGCTGTATGCTGTTCTACTTTGCCTTGATCTTCTTAGGGGTTCTGCTTTGGGTGAATAGTGTTAAGGCAGTGATACTCAGTTGTCAGACTTGGGAACCACATGTAGTTCTTTGGCAAACTAAATCTACTCACTGTAGCTTGTTGGACCTGGACTTTATTGGTGCCTAATCAGCACTGCCCAGTTAACAGCTATGTCCTAGTCCAGTTCCAGATGAAGTAATTTTTTTGCACCCACCCAGTTAACAAGCTGCTTGAGTGTATCTATAGCTGCTCTGACATCCTGGCAATTAATTTATACTTTTGACTAAGTAAGGAGATCCCACACAGAATTAAAGTTCATGAATCCAACAGTTTTTAATCAAAACAGGTAAGTAACAATTAAGCAAGGGCAATGCAGATAACAACTTTAACAAGTATTAACCTTTACTGGAAAACCTAATAACCTTTATTACATTAAGAGTAAAACTTTACTAAACACAGGATATCTGCTGCCTCAGATCGCAACATGCCCAGACCTATATATTGGCAGCTTACCTTCAGCTTTTAGAAAAGGGAGGATGGAGAGAATGGCAGATGAGGGTATACTTACCCCAGAGAGCAGAGGGCTGCAGCTTAAGTGCAATGCACATCTGGGTAGCCAGCCCTGGCCACTCTCACATGAGATGAACAGTGGTGGGAGCAAATGGAGCCTTAGGAGTCACTGTTTGCTGGGGATGATGGCCAATTCTACAGCAGCCTTACTGTCAAGAGTATGCTCTGCCCATTGAACCTCTGCGGTCACAGTGTGGGCTAATGTGCAATACCACACAACGATCACCCACACCAGTGCACCAACACACCACAAGACTACTGTTCTGTATGTCTCCAAACACGCCGTAACAGGCCTATGCTCCTGCTTGCCCTCAGCCAGTGTCACTCTCATAGCAGACGGACCCACTCATATGCTGAGCCCTGTCCAGACGCACCCTTATATAATAAAGGTGCTCACTGTTCCCTTTGGGCTCTGCACAAGGTACTTCTTTTGCAGTGGGCACTCTCATCAGAGTCCTTTAGGTGTTCTGCAGACAATAGGTCAGACAAGGTTCACTTTCTGACCTACTCAGGGGCTGAAGGATACATGGGCTTAGGCTCGATCTCTGGCCTAACGAGCTAAATTGTGACGCACGCTCCAGTTGAAACCATAATGCTGGTTCCCTCTCCCCAGGGAGAGGGAGTCAAAGTAGCCTGTAAACAGGTGTCAAATTTTGTGCTGAAAATAGAACTATGGTACATTGGTTACAGTGATAGTAGAAGATAGCACATGTGTTTTGAATTATTCATGACTGTAGGGACTGCGGGCTTTCAATTCAATTTAAGGGCGCCATGTAACTTGCTACTTCACCGTCTGAATAATACTGAATTAATTTTTATATGGTTGGTTTTTAAGTAGCAATTGTTTGAATTTCTGTGCCTTGCTGTGGGTTGTTTTTCATTAAATGTTACACAGCTATTCAGGAATGTTTACCTTCTGTGGGGGTACATATATGTGCTTTCTTGTCAGATTTTTTTGGTTTGGTGTCTAAAGCCCAAGACCGTGGCTGTCATGTTTAATGGAGTGACTGCCACTGCTCCATTAATTTACCTAAGATACTTAGTCACTTTGCAATTTTTACTTACAAATATTGACAACCTTTTCACATATGTCTTCCAGTTAGCAATTGATTATGGAATCAAATTTTTGGAGACAAGTGCAAAATCCAGTATCAATGTGGAAGAGGTAAGATATTGGCATCCTATTTATGAGTGTCTAACCTCAAAATTACTATTGCAAAGTAATCGTGTTGTGTAATATTTGAGTCCTGGGCTTTGAGAACTGGGGCTTCTTGCAGTCCTAGAGAAGTCATTTTATTACCTTAGAATGTGGACTCTAGTTACCACTTAAACTTCTGTCTGTCTGTCATCCTAGATGTCAAATGTAGCAATGCGTTAAAGGGGCTCTAGGCAAGTTAAGAGCAAGAACTGAGTGCCTAGGCAGCCCTTATAAAAAGGAATTTGTGGGGAAGGAGCTCTTAATTTCTGCTATGTTTGTACAGATTCTTTGTTAAAGGAAAAAGAGAGCCCAATTAACAGCATGCAGCTGGATGCAAAATAGTTGTTTACTACATATTTGAATTTAGACTTTCCCTTAAATGTTTTATGCAAGGAGATTCAAATGTGCAGACCACGGGCCAGATCTAGCCCACGGAGCTGCATGTGATATAGCCCACAGGTTGCTGGTCTGACCCCATGTGCTGGCCCTGGCCCCACATGCTGCATGTGGTATACATGGTGGACCACATATGCTGCAGGCAGCCCATGGGGTTGGTCTGGGGTACTGAATGCAGCCCATGCTTTAAACTCTGTGCTGACCCTGAGGGCCATGTGCCAGCAAACCCAGGGACTGGCACATGCTGCCTGAGCCATGTGGGGCTGGACTGGCTGCATGCTTCACAGGCAGCTGGCACAGGACATGTTCCATACCACCAGCATGCAGAGCCAGTTAGCTGGGTGCTGCATGAAGCATGTGCCCTGCGCTGGCTCTCTGTGAGGTATACAGCATATGTGGCTGGTTCAGCCCTGCAGGCAGCACATGCTGACCCGGGGACTTTCTGTGCATGAAGCCAGCTTGAGAGGTGTGCACTGCTTGTGGTGTACAGGCTGGACCTGGTGTTGTATGCATCACAGTGGGTCTAAGACACAAGCATGTGGTACCCTAGGTTGACCTCCTGTGCTGCCTGCAGCACCAGTCCAGACCTACCCCATGACAACCCTGGGGGCTGGTGCATGTGGCATGCAGCATGTGGGCTCTACCTGGCCCCATGGCTGCTTGGCAGGGGTTGGTGTGGTCCGGCCAACAGACCAGTGAAGGGATGAGTTTTTCACTCCTGGTTTACACAGTACTGAAAGGTGTAGATTCTTTTATTGTCAGAATAAATCTACCCAATGCCAGCAGAAGGATGGGGGGAATGCAGATTTAAATGTCTTTTGATTACAAAATAATCATATTACAATAAGACAAAATACTTCTAATTTTAAATGCATTATTTTCTAGTTAATTAGTACTTGAAGTGTTTTATGAAGAGTGATACCTTATAGTTAATGTAACCTTTTATTTGGTTTCAGGCATTCTTTACGCTTGCACGGGATATTATGACAAAGCTCAACAGAAAAATGGTTTGTACCTCTAAATGTTATGTAGAAATAAAATGTTTCATGATCCATAGTACTGCAAAGCTTTTCAAAGTTCAGACTCGGAATTTGTCCAGTAATCTTGCATGCAACTGCAAGTAGCTGAATGCATCAGTTTTTGCATAAATCTGTGAGCACAGACTTTGGTAGGTGTTATTCCTATCATGGTTCATTTTTGGAGACCTATTAGAGCTGCAGTAAAATCCACTTTTGTAGACACACATTCCAGCTGTCTTATCAGACTTCCTGTTAGGTTTTAGGAACAGAAAACTGGTTTCTGTCCACTTGTGCTTCATAGCTTGTGGCTATTCTTGTGTTCTACAAATTCTACAGGCTAAATTAAGGCGTCCTCTGAATCTTGCTTTACCATGGTGTCACCTTCAGAGAGCTCTGAACTGAACAGCTGGTTTGGCTTTAGATGCATTCTACACAGCCTTTCTAGTTGAGCATGTTTGTCCACTGTAGTTGTAATGCAGGTTTATACTAAATACAACATATAGTTGTCCAGACCAACTTTCATAATAATCTTTTAATTTATTTTGAGAATTAGGGCATGTGCATCAAGCAGTCTTACCTTCTATCACCACAGGTTTGCAGTATGGAGCTAGTTTTAAAAACATAGCATTTTTTTCTTGGACAGGGTTGTACTGCAGTGTCTGACACCTCTCAAGCTGAAGTAGGTACTCCTACTCCAAAAGGAAGAGGTTTTGCAAAGCCATATGCACTTGACAATAAGATAGTGAAACTAAACTTGTGTAGGCTTAAAAGAAGAGGCTGTAGTTTGCTTTATTGAGCCTTGAATTTGAGGGTTGGAATGGAGTCTGTATTTAATTAATAGGAATTGGTTGCCCCTGTGTACAAGTGGAACACAGAACAGTAACTAAGTTTTATTAACTACTGCTTCAAAATGCTTGTACAAGTGTCCTTTTAATAAACAATTGGGTTGACAAAGAAAATTGTTATTGGTGGATAAAGAACAGGATCCAGTTAGAAGGGTTGAATTCACATTTAGGATTTAATACAAGCCATTTTAAATTAAAAAAAAAAAAGTATTTAGTTTAAAAAAAATAAATAAACCTTGTGTTGGTAACCCTGTTTGACTGCAGTTAACGGTTTTACACCCTGATGGTCTTAACTGTACTCTGGGCCTCACCCCCACCAGAGTTATCCTTGTCAGTCCCACTCCCCATGTCCTGGCATGGATCCTCCAAAAAACCTACCTGTGATCCATCACTATTATAGTCAGCTGACAGGATTCAGCAGCAGCACATGTCTGGGGTACTGTCATACCCTGCTTGTCTTGTAATACTGCACTTTGAAGCTGCCTAGTCAGAAAGAAGCTATCAGCTCTAACTGCTTAGTTTTTACAGATGACTCAGTTTTGTTTTGTTTTTCTTGGGGTGAGGGAGGTGTTTTGTTTTACTTCCATGGACAGGAGTTTTTAGCTTGAATTTTTACTGACTCCGTAATGTACAGACAGTTGGCAAGCCTGAGAGAGGTTAAACTAGGCACAGCCTATTTTATTTGTTAGACACATTTGACCCAATCATTTACATCTTTAAGCCATTCACCAAGGGTGGATCTCAAAGCACTCCTCAGCTTGATTTAACACAGATACCTCCTTGCCACCTTTTTGAAATAACTTTATTGTCATGGATTATGCTGTGCTTTTGTGCTCTCTGTTTTGAACAGGTACATATAATTGTACATAGATAGTCAAAATCCTTTAAAGAGCTGCATGCTTCATAAAGCTTTGTGATACAGCCCTTACATAGCTGTTTGTTCTTGAGAATAGTATTTTTAGGCATATGTGATCATTTGAACTATTCCCTCCTCTTTTCTCTTCCTCTCCCCTGCCCCTCTCCCCCCCACTCCCAATTTAAAACTTTAAATCAGAGGCAGTTTTACCAGAAATTAAGTAATCAATCATTTTACCTTGTGGGTAAAATTAGGAGAGGTGAGGATATTGAAGTTATTTCTCCCCCACCCCTTATAGCATGGCTATTAACTACATATTGCTTTTTTTCAGAATGACAATAGTTCATCAGGCGCAGGTGGACCAGTAAAAATAACTGAAAATCGATCAAAGAAGAGCAGCTTCTTTCGATGCACGCTACTTTGATGAACTTCTAATGATAGACTGCAGCACACTTAGAACCTTTTCTGCTTCTTTGAAAGCACAGGGTCACAGCCTCAAAAAAAATACCACCAAGCTGCTGCTGAGAGCTCCATTAAACGCAGACTGCACTAAACAAAATACCAAGTGGATTTTGCTCATTAAGCCTATTGACCTGCCAGGCTCCTCTTTCTCAAATATGGAAGCAATGAAGTGGAGACACAAATGCAGGACTTTCTCTGTTTTCTTCATTACGTTCTGTTTGTATTGCCTGTTGCAAAAGCTGCTAATTTCTTTTAACTTTGCACATCCATATTAGCCTTTTTTTGCCTGTTCTAGCACAATCTTACACTTATTTGCACAGTTTGTCTTATAAGTAAAATTCTTAACAGATTTGTGCTTTTTTTTACACATTTCTTGTAAATAGAAAAAGGGAGGTATCCATGACACACTCCTGTGTGCACACGCCTGTGCACACATGCCTGTCGGCATTATAGATGAGGTGATGGTGGGTTATTAAACTAATTGGCATTTAAGCGCTTGATTCAGTTTGTGTTTCACAGATGCACAAGTCTGTTCATACAGAAGCTACTGCTTCTACATACTAAATACAGGATGTTGCTTTTTAAAATTATTTTCAACAAACTTTGGACGTTGTATTCTAAACTGTCATAGTCACTTGTCTCCTTTACAGAACGCACCTTTTTAAAAAGATCTAAATTGAATGCAGGTGTCTATCTTCTTTTAATTTTTTGGGGTACACTGAATTTGTCTTTGTTTTGCTTTGGCTTCTGATGAGAAAATACACTCTCCTAGGTTAAAATCTTCAGTATAACCACAGATGAGCTCCCTGTATATCACTTAAGTGGCTTCTGGTAGCTGAAAAAATGATTTTCAAATATCCCCTTTCTGGGAATCCACTCTCCAGTGTGTAAAAAGAAACTTAACGGTGACTTCCCACTGTGATTTAAGATATTCCTTTTATGCTTGAAAATTTTGACAGCAGTCATACACAAGTTGGCCTTCTGCATAGTTGCTTCTGTTATCAGCAAGGAACGTGATACAGTAAGGCTGAGTGTAGTATCTGGTCATACTGAATGCACGAAGCCCTTTTCAGTCTGCTTAGGCACTTATAAAAGTTCAGCAGAAATTAGTAGTGTGGAGTTTTTTATGACCATTAGAAACGAGTTGAAATGTAGTTGCCTTTCTCATCCAGCTAACATTCTGCAACCAGGCTATTCTACCACTTTTTATCTCTTGATGAGTAAAATAAAATAGGTGCTTTAGTCTTTTCTGTTGCTGTGCCAAACTTGGATCAGTGTAAGCTCTAACTACAAACTTAAGTGTCCAGCATTTCGGTTAGAAAAGGTAGATGTATTCTTATTGGCAAACTGCTGACTCTTCTGATGTGCTTTTTTTGTTATGGTAAAGAGTGGTTAAACAGTGACTTGTTTGTTATCACAGACAACTCTGCTTCAATTTAGGGTGTTGCATGTCAAGTTTTCTTTCTGGGTCTCAATTTTTAAAACTAATTTAATGGGCCACAGGCGTTAAATCTAAAGGACTTTTAGCATCCTGGATAAGCCTGGGAAACAGAATTTAAGTGGTTTTCCACCAGTCTCCACTTCATGTCAAAAGTAGTCTTCTAATTAGATGCGACTTCTGGTCTGCTGTTTTTCCTGCCCTTTAGTTTTTTTGTAACACTTTTTTGATGTGGCAGGAAAAGCTCAATAAAAAAACAAGAAAAGCAACCCTAACTTCTGTGGCCTATGCTTAGCACTTCTGGGGGAGAATTGAGAGAAGGATGTGCTAAAGCAATCCAGTTTTCTATATGTTAAGTAAGTGTTTTCTAAGCAGCAAGTGTTATGACACCTATTATGAATGTTGTTAATTTTCAGTAATTTACCTCTGACTTAATTTGGTGTCATAATACTTTGATTTGTATCTCAGGGTTGTCTGCAAACCAAAACTGATGTTCTGTTGTTAGCAACTTTTACAGAATGCTTTTCTTATTCTTTTTTCTGCCATCTTTCTGCTTGGTTCTGTGTACATGCAATATTTGTCTCCATGAACTTCCTTCTGAAAGAGCCTGTAAGCAAGAGTCTGAAGTGCTTCTTGAAGCAGCAGCAAATTGGGGTAACTGCTCTGTTGTATTAGAAAAAAACTTTGCTATTTTCTTACATTTAGCTATGCTAAACTGTACATAAATTTGAGGTAAGACCATAGGAAATTCACTTTATGCATGATAAAATGATGCGGTAAATACTTCACTTTCCTTAATGTTCATATAAAGTTCATCTTTTTCTATTTGTAGAAGGATTTAGTGACAACTTTGTCTGTTCCCTGCTGAAACTGAATAATTCTAGTCTTATGTGAAAACGTTGTGGTCTTATGGATAAGGTAAAATACTTTTTTGCAGCAGTATTAAGTGGCTGAGTGGCTGCACTTTATCAGTGTGCTAATTTCTTGATTAATGGTCGATGTAGACCTTTGCATATAGTCTGCGTTGTCAGACAAGGGAAAATGTGCTGTATACTAGCATGTAAATCAATTGTATGTTTCACTGGGAACTTTTTTTTAGCTATATTTTGCTTTAGGCAAGCAGATAAATGATAAATGATATGTTCTGCCTGGGCATCAATTACTGGGTGCTGCAGGCTTTTCTAATATCAGTATGATTGTTTTGTGCAGTCTTTGTAACTTTGCTCAAGACTATATAATCTTATTTTTGAAGGACTCGTAACTATACCTCAGTCAGCTAGCTAGTATTCTAATGACCATTAGAACAAAAGTGATGCAACTGTTAGAGATTTTACAAAGCAGCAAATTCGCATCATCTTGCTTTAAAGACTTTCATTGGTCTTTTAAGAAAAGGCAGGAGGCATTCCTGGATTGTGTTAGGAATTGAATATACATCTGTCAGGGTTTTCCCCTCCTTCCCCCCCCCCCATCAAGGTCTGTGCACAGTATGTTCACTTTTTTTAAATAATTGGAACTTAAACTATAGACTCAATCCTTCTCAACTCTAGATTTCAGTCCTGTGATCTGCAAACCATGAACAAACTGCTTAGTTTTTTGTTGAGTAGTTATTAAATTTCTTGACGTTAATTTCAGAACCACATGTGAAACATAATTCACCTCTAAGTACAAGTTAAGATTTGAAAGGTCTAGGTTTTTTACAAAAGGCAGATTTACTGTTGCAAGTGCATTTCCTCCTCTAGTCTCTATGTTGGGTAAATCAAATTGTCTTTCACAAGCAAAAAAAAAAAAGTGGGAGGAGTTGAATACATGCTCAGTAAGGAATTCTTGCTGGCTAACTACTTGAAGGATATGTAGATAGTATATAAAATGCATAATGTGTTAATTCTGGAAATGCATTTGGTATCCGATTTATGCAATTGATGCTTGCGTGGTTAAAGTTTTTAAGGACTAGCTGTAGGTATTAACTCTTCTCCTCCATTTCCTCAGCTGCTTGTGCAACATCCAATATTTTAAGTGTAACTTGCATTTCAACCTGTCAGTCAGGATTTTCAGCTTTTTTGTTTCCAGTGAATTTAAATATTTTAGTGCATTCCTATGGCCTTACACTTTTTTTGCAAATGACACTTTTACTTGGGATTACAATTATTTTAATGCAATATAGTTACTAAAGTCCATCTAAAAAGCACGGCCCTAAGAAAATGCTTAATTTTTCAAATAGAATTGTTCTACCATGTTGGTTTAATTTAAACACATTTTCTCTCTGCTCCAAAGGTGTAATGTGAAAAGCTCCTACAGATAAAGTGGAATTGTCATGTGTTTAACTTGTAAATCTAATCATTAATTGTGTACTGATACTGTGTTTAAAAAAAAAAAGACAAAAAACCCCCAAAAAGGTTTTATTATTTCATGTGAACTTTTTTACAACGTGAGTCTCAAATAAAAATTACATAATGAAGGTATCCAGTCCTTTTTATATAATGTAACTTTATAAACAGGTGGCATTCTCACTGTACTGCCAGCACATATGTCTGTTTCAGGAAAATTCCAGCTTAGCTCCTTCCTGGGGATACCTCTTATGAATTGGCTTGTAGATTTCCATTTCCCTTAAATATATAGCTTGCTGCTGAGTGTGACAGTGAGGGATCCTCTTAAAAAACCCTCTTCTGAGTCCTGTTGCAGAAGAACTTGAGTTCTCCTAAGGAAACCCCATGACCATATCTGAGAAGTCGATAGGATCTCCAAAGTAAATGCTAAATGTCATTAAACAAAGTGGGGTTTGAAACTCCAAGTAACGGTGACACAGACTAAAAATGAAAGGCCTTTTAAAAATGTAGTCTCCTATTCAAATGGAAGTACATTTGAAAGAAGAAGGTAGCTAGACCAGAAGAACCAGTTTGCCCATGTGGCTTGGTAATAAAGGAACAGGCCAGTTTGTGATGGGCTGATCAGAAAGGGTGCAACCAACTACTTCAGAATGTGAAGAGACCACAAGCAGAAAGTAAGGCTGCACACAAGGAAATGGGATGATCCTACCCTACCTAAAAGTTTTGGAATAAATCCCATGGAGTTCCCAATTTTTATCTCCCTTTCCTCGTCTAAAAAATCTTTGCATTTCCTGTATAGAGTGAGTGTCACCTGTTTTAACCTACTTTATCCCTGCAAAAGTGAACTGTAAACCACTGGCTGTATGGCTGAAGTTCAGTGGGAGGGGTACATAAGCAATAAGGCTTATAGAGGGGCAATCCATGGTTCTCGGGATGTAGGACACTTTGTGAAAACTGGAATATTTATAAACCAAGGGGTAACTGTCCAGGAAGCATGATGGAGAGGCTAAGGAAAGACTATGCCCTGGTGTACTCTCATCAAAGGAAGCTTAAACTTGCCTTGCATGAGGTTGACTAAGACTACAACTCTTTGAATTTCTGTCAACTACACCTGTTTTGACAGTGGTTTCATATGAATTTCTGGAACTTTTTGCCATGCTAGACAAAGCCTGAATGCCAACTCCTTTAACGTGGTTTAGGTGCCTTGGAGGAGCTTGCATTGGTGCTTCTATTTCTCATCTTGAGACAGACAGCTCTGGAGCATGACATTTTCTAACTGGCAACTTTGAGAAGTAATGTATTCACTGCAATTTGTTTAAGGGTCAAGTCTTTTTAGACTACTTCACTTGTCTTTGCTAGAGTCTATGGGTAACATGCCCATCTCTCTATTTAGAGAAAAATATTGCTTTCTTTTTCAGAACTGCCAGTTTGTGTGTATTAATTTAGGAACCCCCCAAGGTGACAGGAATATTTTTAGCATGTTTCACTGTTTTCAAAACTGTTTACAAATCCATTCCCAGAACTTGGATTTTTTTTTTCTGGGCAATACACAGCAGGTATCTTTCTGCAGCTGTTAGCACACATTTTAAAGGACAGCTAGAATTTTTCAGGAGCTGTCTATGAACTGGAAAGAGGTGTCAGACACCGGTCTCAGAACTTAACCTGCAGCTACTTGTCTAAAACAGCACTACCATATGCTTTACGGCTTCTGTTCTGCACCAACAACAAAAATGAGGCAGATGTGTCATTTAGGGTTTTTTTTAGTTTTGTTTTGCTTGCTTGCTTTCTGCTGCTTCCCCCACTTATTTAGGAATTTGTTTATAATACTTGAAAGTGTAAGTGTGAAGGGCTATTGTAGGAAGTTGCATGAGCGCTGCCTTGCTTTGATACCTGGAGTTGCTTCTTTCTTTTTTATAAAAGTCCTAGGCTTGGTCCCCAGCAAGAAGTCGTCCTTTAGCCTAAGTAAACATACAGCAAAGTGCCATTTCAAGTTTTTCTGTCTCTTTCATTTATCTAATCTCCAGAGGATAAGTTAACTTAACGTTTCTTGCTGAAAAAGATTCACAGAAGTTTAGGGCTGGAAGGGGCCTTGTGAGAGCATCAGGTCCAGCCCTCCTCCTCTAGGCAGGAAAGACAGCTGGGGTCAAATAACAAATTCATGGAAGTTTAGTGCTGGGCCACCTTCAAATTTAAGGACTAGCTGAATCGTCTTCTTTCTCCATCCCCTCATTGTTACAGAAATCCCTTATACCAGGGCTGCTCTGCCCCCACCCCCCAGACTTGATCATGGAGGTATCTATCTGAGTCCCAGGGTCCACAGGGGTCTGAAGAGTTGTTGGTGGGGGAGGAGTGGCTGTTCTCCTGCTGCCCAATTTCCAGAGGTGTGAGAACAGGACAGCATGCTCCATCTGTATTTGAAGATGACCCGGGCTTGATATAAGCCACTAGGGGTGAGCTGGAGATGGTACACGGCTCGGTCCTGGAGTCTGGGCCCCTGAGGCCTTGGCATAGGCAGCAAGGAGGGAGCAGCACACCACTAAGTTCAGCACCACTGCCTGAGGCTGCTAGGACCTCCTTCCCAGGGCAAACACCACAGGCGCAGGTCGGCAAACCGAGACGACCGAGCCCACGCGAATGGACACCAGCTAGCCACGCTGCCCCTTTCCCCGGCGCGCGGGCGGAAGTAGCAAAGGCCGCAGCTGGGGAAAACAGCCTCCCTTTCCCGCCCGCTGCTACCGTATCACCCTGTCTGCCAGGGACTGGCAGCCGAGGTGGCTGTGGCGCTTGTCTCGCGACCTGGTTCCCGCCCCCGCTTGTTGTGGAACTCCCGGCGCCTTCTCCCTGCGGTGACACCGCCCAACCCCGCCGTCAGCTCCTCCTGCGCCGCCCCCCCCCCAGCGGCTGCTGGGGCCTGCCCCTCAGGTGCTGCTCCCAGCCCAGTCCCGCGGCGCGGCCTCCCCCCGGGCGGGGCGGGGCCGACTTCGTGGACCGGGCTGTGCCCTTCGGCGCCTGCCCCGGGCTGGGGGCGCCGCTCGGAGGCGGTGCATGGACAGGCCTCGCCTCTGATTGGGTGTGGCCTGGGGC